AAATCAGACCAGAAAAAAAAATTAACTTTTTTTTCAATACAAAAAAAAATTGATTATCATCCCAAAAGGGGTGAATATACAGCAAAAAAAAAAAAAAAGAAAAGCAGAGCAGCAGAAAAATTTCACTTTTTTTTTCTGGTGGCGTGTTTCTTCTTCTTTTTCTCACATAGATACTCACACACATCACACACACACACTTTACTCACTTTTTTTTCACTGAATTTGATTCAAGGAGAGTGAGTGAGTTTGGTAGTAGTGGTAGTATTTTTTTTTTTTTTTTTGGTGATGATGCTTAAAAAAACATTCAACCAATTCAAATCAAATGATGATGAAACAGAATAGAATAGAATGGGACAAGAAAAAAACAATACAGAAAAATTAACAACGAGAAAAAATTGGGAGATATATCAGAGTAAAAAAAATGAATGGTAAATTTTTTTCAATAATCATCTAAAGGAAAATGGCTGCCACTCGTCGAACCAGTGTGTGTGTGTGTTTCAAGAGTCAGTTTTTTTGGTTTTGGTGTCGGTCTATGTGTGTGTGTGTGTGTGTATTTCCTATGCTATAGAAAAAATTCTCCCATACAAACATTATACTCATCAACATCACTATATCCATAGAATGAATAAATTCAGGATTTTTTTTTTTGTTGAAAAAAGGTAGCGCAGAATCGTAACCAAATGACAAAAACTATACAATTTTTTTTCAAGATGCAGAATATATAATGTGTATGTAACCAACACACACCATACATGCAGATAGTGTTTTTCTTCTTCTTCTTCTTTTGGTTCTTTCCACGTTCATAAAGACTAACTAAAGAAAAAATATTTCATTCAAACATTCGATTGATTAGAGGAATGGTGGTGGTGGTAATGGTATAAGACAAACATCATAAAAGAGTGACTATATCCACCAAATATAATCATCATCATCACTTCATCATCATACAACCTAAACGACCAGAAATCGACAACTGCCATACACAAATACACAATTTTGTCGTGTGCAATGTGAAAAAAAATAACGAACAGGCCGAATTTGATGATGATGATAGGAAAGAATCATGATCATCAAATGAGAAATAATTTTCTGGGTAATGAAAGAAAAACAAAATGAAATCATTTCACATCATGATTACCATAATCAAATGAATTGTCATCAGGATTTTTTTTTGTTTGTTTGATTTTAAAAAATTAAAATCTTTGAAAAAAAAAGTCAAAACCTTTTTGAAGAAAATAAAAATTCCTACTTACCGAGAATGATGGAAAAAAGAATTGCAAATCGAAAAGAAAGGAAAAAAACATATAATTTTTTTTTTGTTTGGAAAAACAAGCAGATGGATATTGAATGAAATAGAAGAAGAAAAAGCAAGGAAAAGAAAGAGGAGATACTACTGCTACTACTACTACTATCTGTTCCAATATGGATAAATAATGGGAGTATATCATTAGTATTTGCTGTTACTAATGTGTTTCAAATAATTGCGCGCACGCATATAACATTCATAGAAACAACTACTCATTACACCCATATTGTAGAAGCATTAAAATGAATGAAAAAAAGAATCAAAAAAATTAAAAAAAAAATCAAATGCCGCATAAATTGTCTAGACATTCAGGTATTTTCATTGGATAATTATTATTAATACTACTACTACAGATTGATGAATCATCATTTTGGTACTATTTATCAAACTACTACTACAATAATGAATGGAATCCAAGTTAAAATCAAATGAAATGATGATGATGATCATCATCATCTTTTGATCATTTTTAAAAATATATATGTTACACCTATCATCGTCGAAATAGGCGCATGGGCGAGTCACGAAACAGCGGTGAATAGCGGTGGCGTTAGTGTGTATTAGCCAAAGAAAAAAAAATGAAAGAAGAGAAAGAAAAAAAAAACTTGTGACTTGATGTCGAAATAGCGCGCGCGTGTATTGAAATGAATTGATGGCGCCATCTAATGGCGTCATTTTAATCAAAAAATAATAATAATTTCCAATGAAGATCCATCATTAACCCAAAATTTCAAAAAAAAGAAAAAAAATGTACTTGTAATCCTGCTATAGACAACAAATCTTTAAACAAATACACAATAACCGGAATATAATTCTATTTAAATTTAAAAAAAAAATTTAGTTATCGATATTACACAGGTATAGGGCAAAATATGATACGAATGACTAAATTTTTCATTAATTTTTATAGCTACTAATCATCTTAATTATCTTATCAATAATATAACAATATTTCCTTTTAATTTTTATTTTTACAAAGAGTTAATACTGTTTTTCATCTATTTGGACAGAATGAGTCATTATAATGATGATGATGATGGTAATGGAAAAGGCAATGAAAGAACATTTTTCTTTTCTTTTCTTTACTTCAAACAATAATTATGTATGAACGAATGATAATGATAATGATGATCATCATCATGATCATTGATCAATGCGCTTGCCTAAAAAAATATATAACCAATCCAAAAACGAAACGAAACAATAATCCAATCCAACAATCATCAATAGATCATTGGGAGAGATCCCGGCATACATTATATATAATCATTGAACCGAAGACAAACAGAAAAATGTGCGAAAAAGGAACGATATATATAGAAGAAAAAACAAGATATTTTTCAATAGCCATAAATAATGAACCAGAAAAAAATTACTGCAAAAAAAATCGAACAAAAAAAAATTTTCTGGATCCTGGCTTCTTTAAATAGTAGTGGTGATGGTAGTCAAAGAATCGGTCATAAAATAGAAATAGAACAAACAAACAAACAAACAAACAAATCGATCCAAGATGACTCGAACATCGTTGTGTGTATGTAGACAAATGTATTTTGCAACCAAATTTTCTCCCAATTCTCTTTTTGTTTGTTTAAAGTATGAATCAAAAAGTAACCAGGAAAAAAAACAAGGCCACTTCAACCCGTTTTGTATCTTCAATATTTACGGGGAGAAAAAAAACGCGGGTACACACATGGTTGATTTTTTTTCTGAAAAGAACCAAGAAAAAAAAGTCAAACATTTTGATTCTGAAGAATATCAACCCACACACACACACATGATGTTCATTCACTGGAATAATGAACATACATAGAGAAAAAGTACAGAATTTTACACCTTAATAACTCTATATGATGATATCATGAGAAAACAAAAAATAAAAAATTTGACATCAAACAAAACGATAGGATTAAATAAGAAACATCATTATCATCATCTTATATTAGATAGATAACAAACGATTGTCACAAGGGATTGTCATATAATATTAACAACAACAACAAAATTGTTTACCTGTCACAAATTGATATAAAATGATATATGGTTACAATGTCAAGATTGTAATAATATTAATTGAAAACATTTTTTGTCATCAACAAATCTAATAAATAAGTGCAGGGGCAAAAGAAAAAAAGTTACATCTCTCTCTCTTAATGTATGTGTATGTTTCGAAAATAAATTCACGTGACAATTACGAATGATATTTTTTTTGTTGTTGTTTGTTTGTTTGTCAGGAAATGATTATCGTTAATTTAATTAAAAATTATGTTTTATGGATGAAGAGAGATTTCATCATCATCAATAAAATACAGACACAGACAGACAGTTATGATAATAAATATTGCCTAATTGGGTAACAAGAAAAAACAAATGTAATGAAACAAACAAAAATTATACAAAATAAATCCAAATTTCAATAAAATAAGAATATTTACGAAGAAAAAAAGAAACAAAAAAAAACGGAAATAACCGAAACCGGCTAAAATAATTTTATTCGAGCATGTTCTTTCTTATGTCGAGAAAAACAGCAAAACTGGTTTTTTTATCATTTTTCATATTAATTCGGCTTTTCGTAACATCTTTTTTTTTCTTTTCGATGATTTTCATCATAGCCTACCATCATCATCATCATCATCAATGATTTTATCCATATTTAGACAAAAGTAATGTTGATGAATGATAATGATTAGTTGTTGTTGTTTGTTTGTTTGTTTGTTTGTTGTCAACTCAATAGATCAATTGGTATTATTGAATTAATTATACCGGAGTTAAATAATTTTGATAGGAAAAAAATGAATGATGATATTTGTAAAACAACAACAACAACAACAACAAATCAAGGAAGAAAGCAAGGCCATTCAAATATGTTTTTCTTCATTCATTCATTCATTCATTTAATTGATAATCATTATCAAATGAAAAGAAACAGAAAGAACAAACAAACAATTCGAATACATCATACATCCTTTTTTTTTAGTTTTGTTTCGCATGCAAAATTATGATCATTTTCATTTCGAATTAAAAATGAAAAATTTTGTCAATTCGATTAGGAAATGGATAAAGTGCTTGAAAAACTTACCTCAATTTTTATTTGTTGGTCACACTGGGCGGTAATATAACTGAATATTTTGTCCATTCGATTCCAGAAAAAAAACGTAGAAGAAAAACTTTCAAAACAAAATACACAAACACACAAACACAGCAAACACAGTTTTCATTAACTTTTTTATTATGGTTGCGGTTTAAATGATTGGTTTGGTTTGGTTTGGTTGACTAGGCGAACATAAAACACGACAAAACATAAATAAATTCAGAAGAAAAACGACAATTAAAATTGTATAATGATGAATCTTCCCAAAAATACACAAAATACTTTTTGGTTATAAGAATTTGAAAAATTGCAAATTTTTTACTTGTCGAAAACTCGAAATGGACGAAAATTGATGATTGAATGAATGAGAATGAAACAGACGAATCAAACCGAGAAAAAGATTTTTTTTTTTCTATCTTTGACCCAAAGTGAAGGATATATTCGATTCGTTCGAATGATAGCGGCGGAGTTTTAGGATTTTTTTTTTTGAATTCCTTTCATAAATGCATACTACTACCTTTTTTTTTTGGATATCTTATATATATATATTCGATTGACAGCAGCAGCAGAAGCAGGATCTTCTTCATTCGAAAACATTGTTTATGAACGGAAAAAATACACATGTTTTTTCGTTCGACGATTTGCATGCTTTAAATTTTTTTTGGCCACGTTTTTCGGATCATTTTTTTTGAAAATTTTTGGTTTTTTCAGTTTTTTTTCACGAGAGATAATAATGCCTAAATCAAAACGTAATCGTCTTGGTATGTAGTTTTTTTTTGTTTTTTCGTTAAATAAAGAGTTTATCTAATGAGTTTTTGAAAATTTTTTTTCTCCTTGGCAGTTTCATTGACGGCAACGAAAAAGAAAAATTTTTCCAATCTTAAAGAACGTTTAGTAAAAGATGTACAAGATTGTGTGGATAAATATAAACATTGTTTTGTATTTCGTGTGGAAAATATGAGAAATGCTCGATTGAAAGAGTTAAGAAATGATTTACGTCAAAGCAGGTTAGATTTTTTTTTGTTGATTCGAATTCCCTGATTATCATTATGCAAATTTCATTTTTTTCAGATTTTTCTTTGGAAAAAATAAAGTAATGAGCATTGGTCTTGGCCGTACCGAATCGGATGAATATCGAAAAAATATTCATCGTATTACGAAATTATTATCCGGACAATGTGGTCTTTTATTTACCAATCAAAATCAGGATGAAATATTCAAGTAATTTAAAGAATTTATCCTCAGCGAAAAAAAACAATCAAAATTAACTAATTGATTTTTTTCCCTTTCAATGTCAATTTTGAATTAGATTTTTTGATTCATATCGTCATCGTGATTATGCACGAACTGGTGATATTGCAACCGAAACAATTGAATTATATGAAGGACCAATGGAACAATTTCCACATAATATTGAACCATATCTTCGACAATTAGGTATGCCAACAACCTTACAAAAAGGTATTGTTACATTGTTGAAAGATTATCAGGTTTGTCGTAAAGGACAACCATTAACATCGGAACAGGCTCGTATTCTGGTAAGATAGCGAAAAAAAAATTTTTGTTTTCAAACGAAATATTTTCAAATTTTCTTTTCTCCCACCACAAAGAAATTACTTGACAATCAAATGGCCGAATTTCGTATCACAATCGATGCTATGTGGTGTAATGATGATGGAAAATTTGAAATATTTAATCGAAAAAAATTGGCTGAAAAAAATCAAATTGCAAACAACAACGATAATGATGATACTGACGATAATGACGACGACGATTAATAAATTTCTTTTTAAAAAAAATTGTTTAATCATGTTTTTTTGCTGCCTACTTTTGTAAATATTATTCAAAATTAAAAAAATGTGATTTTTTTTGAAAAAAAAAGTTTAAAAATTTCAATTTTCAAATTGCAATGCGCGAGTAATTTGTTTCCGGAAAAAAACTATCGATAGTATCGATAGTTATGTACATTCTAGATCACATTGATCAATATTGGCTAAATTATCGATTAGATTTTCATCGATACGTATGAAATCATTTTGTCTTGATATACGTATTTCAATATCATAGATGCATCCTGGTATTTCAAAAATTAAAAATTAAAAATCTTAATCAAAACATTAACCGAAAACAACAAACCTTTAAATCCGGTTAGATTTTCAAGTGCTGAATGTGCAAGCCAATTATCATGACCACCAACATAAAGATATGGATCAAGATTTAATTGATTTTTTGGATTCAAATCACCCATACTACTACTTGTTGCAATAGTATTCGATGTTGTTTGACCAATTTTTGGTCGTAATTTATTATTATTATCCATACCGGATGGTATAACTAATAACCAAAATAAATGACGATAATGACCAAACAGAACCATTTGTTCGGTCATATTTGTTTCGGTTGATGTTTTTAATGTTCGTTCACCTGAATATTTAAAAAAAATGACCAACATGGATTAAAATAGTGAATTCGAAGATAAAGAAGATTCGACACAAACCTTGTCCAATATTCAGTTTTAATTGAAGAATTTTATCCATATAAACAAGACTAACAAAATCATCATTCTGGTAAATATCTTTATTCGACGACGACAGGATTTTTGAATTATTATTATCGGTATTTGCGATGGTTGAAATATGACTCATAAACATTAATAAACCATTTTTTTGTTCAATTGGTTGTGCAATAAAACGAAAACGTATTTCAAAAAATTCTTGTAAATTATAAGCCAAACGATAACGTACAAATGAATTATTATTCATACCAATATTGAATGATGCAAATGTTAGATTCATTCCTGAAATGCAAAAAGTATTTAAAGAAAAAATTGGATGGAAAAAACGGATTGAAAAACTTACTAAATTCACATCTTGAACCAAGAAAACCCTGTGGACAAATGCATAAATGTTTATTATGGTTATCTTGATTATCATCAAGATTACCAAGTAAACATAATCCACCATTAAAACAATAATCTTGATCACAATAAATTTCTTCACAAATCCAACCACGATACCCGGGCGTACAGGAACAATTCCATAATGGTTCATTATTATCATTCGATAAGGATTTTAATGATGATTGTCGACAAACACCATTATTCTGGCATGGATTCATTTGTTCACAAACATTTGATAAACATTCAGTAATATTTGTTGATTGAAATGAATCTTTAACAAATAATTTTTCATTATTTAATCGTATATTATAAATACAACCATAAAATGGTTTTAATGATGAATCAATAAGAAAATTATCCGATGATGATGGTCGACCGAAACGAAACCATTCAAAACAAGGAACCGTAAGATTGAATTTTTGTTGTCGAACACTATTGATCAACATCATCGAATTGTCCGGGTTGTTTTTACTGTTGATTCGATATAATCGTAGTTCAACATTAACAGATTTTTCCGATTTTGATTCAATATCAATATGTAAATGATATGGTCGAAATTTTTCAATCAAAGATTCACTTTCCAAATGAATTAAATCCATATGATTTTCATTATCATTTAAATCGATGATTATCTGTTTGTTTTCCATATAAATTAATAGATTATATTTGTTTGTATAGGCATGTAGAATTGTGGTGGCTGTTGAATCATCATTGTCTTCGCCATCATCAATTTGGCTAATAATATCCATTTGTATTGAACTTGTTGAACGTTTTATACGTCGGATTTTGAAAAGAATCGACGATTCGAATCCATCAAAACTTGGTGCAAAAATTTGATTCATATCTTTAACATCAATTTCGCTTGGTATCATTAATGGAAATTGTAAAGGTGTTGTTGTTGAAGGATGGATGAAAATTTTTGTCGTTTCGGTTGGTATAATCGTTGATGGTGATGATTTAATCGTTGAAACAGGAATTGTTGTAGGCACAATATTTGTTGATTGTATCGTTATTGATGGTATCGATATAATCGATGGTTCAATAATGGCAGTAATATTATTTACGGAACATAATTCTTTATCAATAACAGTATCGTTTATTGATTGTTTCGAACAATTTATTTCACAAAATTTTCCGGCAAATCCTCGTGGACATTGACATTGATAACCATTAATTTGATCTAAACATTTTGCATCATTTTGACAATCGTTTGGTTGACAATCATTATATTTTAATTGACATCGTTGTCCATGAAAATCTGGTTGGCAGAAACATATAAAATGATCGTGATTTCCATTGGTCATACATAAGCCATTATTTTCACATTTATTCATTGAATCATTACATTTCAACAATGGTTCGTCGCATATTTTCCCGGTGTATCCATATGGACAATTACATCGGAAATCCGATTGACCCGATTTTTTACATTGCCCTCGATTAAGACAAGGTAATGAATCACAAGGATTAATTTCTATTTCACAATATTTTCCTGTATAACCAGGTTGACAAACACAATAATAATCTAAACCAGGACCATCTTTACATGTACCACTATTTTGACAACGTGGATTACTATTTTGATTACTATGATTATTGATTAAATCAACCATACAAGCATCGATATCGATTTCACATTGTAATCCATCATAACCATTTGGACACAGACATTTAAATCCATTAATCTGATCGATACAGGTTGCCTATCAGGTGTTTGAACGATGCAAATGAAAAAATCTCAATTGAAAAATTGAATGTTTTTAAAAAACGAAAAATTATAACAAACCCCATTACGACAAGGATTCGATTGACATTCATCAATTTCCATTTCACAATATTTTCCACATATACCAGCCGGACAAATACAACGAACATCAGGTACATCGTTAATACATATTGCATCTGTGAAAAATGAGAAAAAAAAAATTCGGTTTTTTTCCGAATGAAATCAAATGAAAATCATTCATTCATTTACCATTATGACATGGATTTCTTCCGGGTAAACATTCATCAAAATTAATTGAACAATCATCACCGGTAAAACCATCGTGACAAAAACATTTTGATCGCGATTCTTCCTCGACAATCGAACAAACACCATTTATACATGGACAATCGATCGTATTTTGACCATCAATTTCAGCAACCACAAAAATCAACCCAAAGATAATCATTGAAAATTTCATTATGTAAGAATCGATCATTATCGATGTTTTTTTTTATATTTTAACACTCTTTTTTAACACTTTAGAGCACAAGGTAAAGTTGAAAAATATATTTCCAGGTAAGCACAGGTTAATCGATAAATGACCTCATCATCATCATTATCATTTGATTGACAAATTAAGCAAGAAAATTGCTAAAATGCAGCATTTTTTGTGTAAACAATCGATTAATCAATGGCCAGTACCAAATGATGATGATGACATTTCCCGTTTAGAACGGCAGAATAAAGTTACCATGACAACCATATAATTCATGATTCATCGGGTAACCAGAATTTGGACAAAACAAACAAACAAAAAACAAGTAAGCAACAAATTCTGTGTGAATTTTCATTGATTTTATTACCGAAAAAATGAAATTGGAAAAAAAATGTTTAATTAAGAAAAATTAGGAAATCTTTTTGGATAAAATTTCATATTCGATCGGTTGTTGTTGTTCATCAAAATTACTTGGTGAATTTTTATCAATACGAAATTGTAAACCATTCGTATAGAATTGATAAGCTTGTTGATTATTTTTCAATACGGTTACAATAGATTTTTTCATTCGAAATTGTTTACCTAATGATTCCAGGAGATTCATTAGATAACTACCAATACCTTTTTGTTGATAGGATTTTTCAATTTGTAATTCATAACAATAAAGAACGGCATCCGAAACATAACCTTTTTCAAAACGAAAATGTACGAATGCAATTGGTTTCTCTTCTTCAGATGATGATGGTGACGGTGATAAATCAAAAACAATTAAATGTTTAGCTGTTGAATGTTTAAATTCATTAATTTTCGATTGTCGATTCCATTTCCATGAACATGAATCATATAAATCTTTCATATTTATTTCGGTCAGATTGATCATCCATTCTTGTAATTCATTCGGAATTTTTGTCCACAGAAAATATTTTATCGAAATTGGAATTCCGGTAATTGTTGTTGACAAACATTGTCGATCTTGATCATAAACATCATCATCATCAAATTTTAGCAATGGATTTTCAAATTCATTTGCCATTCGCAATAATAATTCATCGGGAATTGTTGCACGATTTGAACTTAGTTTTTTACCAAATGATTTTTTCGGCATTTTGAAATTTCGATTTTTTTTCGGGCAAAAAAAGAAAGTTTACAATTTTTCAATTTTACGATTTTCAAAAAAAAACTTTTCGCGTTGTTTTGGCTCCAAAACCCAAAACACAATTCATAATGTATGTTACATAATGGAACTTGTTCGAATTTTTTTTTGTTCGCTAACTCGCTGAGCGCCAAACTCGATCCGATCAAAAAACGGGAAAAAAATATTCAAAAATTGATTAAAATGTCAATTTTTTTTCTACAAATTTCATTCGAAAAAAGACAAAACAAAACAACAGTGAATTATTTGAATAATTATGGTTGTTATTGAAAAACAACGAAAAAAAAAATTCAATTTTTCAATTTTCTCCCCAAAGAAAAAAGCAAAATTGGTTTTCCCTGTTATTATCATGATGATTATGGTGATTGTTGTTGTTGTTGTTGGTTGTTTCTGATGGAAATGTAATGAAATTTTTCAAAGCTTGATTGATATTTTGTCGGTTGTTGTTGTTGAATTGTTGTTATTGAAATGAACTTTCAACAACAACAACAACAAGTTTAAAATTTTAACAGAAAAAAATTGATTTCAAAAAATGAACGGGTATTGTTTGATTGTTTTGTTCAAGTGTAATTTTAAACAAATAAAAAAAAATTATTATTATATTTCGGATCCGTTTTGCTTGTTCCAGTTTTTTTTGGTTTGTTGTTTTCTTTGATTTTTTTTTATGCATGGTGGTTTTTCGTTTACTTTCATCGGTTCGTTTGGTCGCTTCATTTTTTCTTTATTTGATTATTTCGTTGAAGAGTGACATCATCATCATAAAGCGAAAAACTTATTGAATAAGATGGCAAAAACAATTTCAGAATGAATTTAACCCAGAAAAAATGACGAAACAAACAAACAAAAGAAAAGAATGAAAATTTTCTTTTTTAAAAATGACCCAATGTTTTTTCTCTCATCATCATTTCAAGTTTGTTTATTCGCCGCCATCAACTGAATTGAATTGAATTGACATCGATATTTTCGCTAGCGTAGCCTGAATATTTAGATTGTATCATCATCATCAATTTTCCCCCAGAAAAAAAACGAAAAGAAACAAAAAGAACATACCACAATCGAATCCGTTACACCTGAAATCAAAAAAAGAAAAAACGAAAGAATTAAATTTAAAGATGTTTTCTTTGCACACAATACCTGGTTTTTCTTTTCAAAATTTTCAAATCGAAAATTCTCTTTTTCTTTTTCTTTTCATTTTCTTCTCTTTCGTTTTGAAAAAATTCATTCACATTGATTTTTTTTATTTTCGTTTCGGAACATTTCCTTTTCTTCGGCTGTTGTTGTTGCTACTGAATTTCAACAACAAAAAAAATCAAACCAACAATTGTTGCTTACCTGAACAGTTTCTTTGCCGTTTTCAACTATGTCATCATCATCTTCATTTTGAAAAAAATCAATCCAAATTTCTAGTTTTTTTTTCTGTTCGGTTCGGTTCGATGAAGAATACGAAAAAAAATTACCATCATCATTTGTCGACACAAAAAAAACAAAACAAAAATCACATTCGACATTAACGATTCGATTTGGTTTCGATTTTTTTTTTCGTTACCAATTATATTAATTATATCTTCTTGTTTGTTTGTTTGTTTGTTATTTCAATTGAATTATCATCATTTGAAATGATGATAATGACAAGTTGGAAGAAAAACTTTCGGTAATTCGGTTTAACCATATAATTTTTGTTTTTGACGAAAAAAAAAACATTCGAATATTATCATCATTATGTTCGATGTTGTATCACATTTTTGGTGAATAGTTTTCTGTTTGTTTGTTCTGTTTCCGAGAAACTTTTTCTTCGAGATTGTTTTGAGATTTCCGTTCGAATGACCGAAAACTTTTCCAAGTTAAAAAAATTCTGATGGGATTCCAAAATTTATCGATCATTATCGTTGTGATATTATCTTCATTATTATTAAATGGATCAATAGCTATACATCATTTTGATGTTGATGATCATCATCATCATCATCTTCATTCACATCATGGCCTAAGAAATTATCATCCAAAATGTATACATAATGATGATTGGCCCGAAAATTTATCACCATCATCATCATCATTACGATCAACAAAAAAAACATCATTCATTTGGCCACAACATGATATTACTACTGCACAATTAGATTCATCAAATCATCATCATAATCATGAATTACAACCATTAAAAATTGAATATACATTACCACCGGTTTATGATCATCGTCAGATTATTCTGAATGAAGAAGATATATTCGAACCTGAACAACTATTTCCACAACATCAACAACATCATCATCATAAAAATACATTGTTGGATTCATTGCAACAATTTTCAATTCCATCATCGTCATCATTATCATCATCAACAACAAATGGTTGGGATGATTTACCAAATTCCAGTGTATATCGTATTCGAAAAACTTCTTCGAATAATTCGAAAAAGAAACGTAAAAAAATATCCGGTCAAAATAATAATAGTCATCGCCAACAGCAAAAACCCTTAAAAGAAATTTATATACCGGATAATGGTTTTTCAATGAAAAATTTATCACCACCATCATATTCAAAATTGAATAAAATTATTGTGATTGAAGAAACTGGTGATGATAATAATGGTAAACAAAATAATAATACCGATATATTTAATGTTGATCCACAATTAACCAAACAAATTGTACAATCAATATTTGATTCAAAACATTTGACCATCAATAATAATGATAATGAACGAATTAATTATGATTTTAAATCAAATAATCAATATAATAATTATCAACAACCAACACAATCAACAAAATTATCATCAACAATAATTTATAATGATGATCATCCATCATTACTAAATTTACAAAATCAACAATCATTAACACCAATATCAACAATAAAAGATTTACATGATCGTTTAAATGAAACATTATTATTAAATAATTTAGATTATGGTAATGTTTCGATTGAATTGGTCAACAATAACAATGATAATAATAATAATTATTATCATCCATTACATAATGTAACAATGATTACACCATATGATAGTTATAATTTATCAACAAAAATATTTCAAACAAAATTAAATGATCATATTAAATTGATGAATTGGTCATCATTATCATCATTGACACCATCAAAAAATGATTCAACAACAACAACAACAATGAGCTATTCATTTCCATTACGAAATGATACATATCGAAATGGAACAAATGAACAATTAGTATCAAGTGGAAGTACAAATCAAGAATGGTTATCATCATCAACAACAACAACAACATCGACATCATCACCGATTGTATTTTATTTTACAAGTGAACGTAATAATAATCATGTATTACCGACACCATCGATTATAACAATGCCAACAACAACAACAACAACAATGGCATCAACATTATTACCTACACGTTCATCATCAATATTTTATCATAGAAAATTTATGAAAAATCATGGTAATAATAGTCCACAATCGGAACAACATAATTATAAACATGAAGATTCGATTCATAAAAATAATAATAATGATGATTATGACCAAAATAATGATCATGCATTGAATACTGGTAAAATAGCCAGTATTATTATTGCATTTTGTATATCAATATTATTGTTGATCGGTATGAGAAATTTTTTACCGAAATTGTTCTTATTTTTCAACAATTTTTGTTTTTCTTTCTATATAGGTATTATATTAATGTTTTTACATAAAGATTTTGTTACCGATCAAATTAATCATCATTGTCGTAATCAACAAAGAAGAAATGAGAATCATGAAAATGGTAATCAACAACAACAATCATCATCATTGGAAGCAGCAGCAATCAATTTTGAACAGCAGCAGCATCAAGGATCATCATCATCATCATTATCATCATCAACAATTGATTCGATGATTATCACCACACAACAAATTCCATCACCTCCTCCACCACCACCCCCTACACAATCCCAATTTCCTTCATCATCATTATCAAGACATTCATCATCAGTGGCATCACCATCAATACCAACACCAAAACCAAATGTAAAACAAATTCAACAATTTTTGGAAAATAAACAACGTACTAACAGCATCAACAACAACAACGATAATGGTTTTGATAAAAAATGTCGGCATTTTTCTCGAGTAGATTAGATTTCTTTTTTTTCCGTTAAATAATGATATTGAGAATCAAAAAATTCTTTAATTTTTTGTTTTTGTTTTTGTTTTTTGTCATAGGCAAATCGATTGGCCGTTCCTAAACGTCCTCCATTACCGATCGTTGGTGATTAATATTATTGTCGTTGACTTGCGAATGTGAATGTCATCAATCATATAAATCATCCATATTTATTGAAAGAAAGAAAGAAAGAAAAGAAAGCTAATTGAAGCAAAACACTAATTAATTGAGACATATTTGTTTGTTTGTTTACACTGATTGATTGAGACAAAAAAAAACAATTTTCCACAACAATAAACAAAAATAAAAAGCATTATTATTTTTTAAAAATTAAATCATTTGATTGCTTCAACCAATTTAATCCATGATTGATGTGATGGATGATCATCAGCCGGACGATTTATAGCTGTCCAACATGGTTGTCCAGTAAATAATCTTACTACCTTTATATAATCATTATGATCTAATGTAAAACGATGATATATACCGGCTGGTAAAATTAATAGATCATTTTTTCCAATTTTGATTCGAATCCAACGATCATCGCGATCACGAACATCAAAATAGCCGCTACCATTTAAACAGAAACGTATCTCTTCATCCGAATGAAGATGTTCGGTGAAAAATATTTTCAATTTATTCTCATAATCATCAATTTTTGTTTTACTTATTTCGAGATTATCTTGATAATCATAACCACGTTCTTGACGAATTTTTTGAAAATTTTCATCATTTTCATAATTATCTGCATCGATCTTTAATTTTTTCAAATGATTAATGTGAATCTTCTTTCAAAAAATTGAACTTACATTCCAATAAAGAATACCAGTTTTTGTTTTCAATTCATCAATATCAATATAATTTGGTGGTGATAAATGTCGTTCACTACGTTGATCTTCATTGTCATTATCATTCATGTACCAAGCTTGAACCATCTTTGTTTTTTTTTCTTTGTGAAAAACTTTGATTGATGCAAAAAAATTTACAGAAACAAAAACATCAATTGCTTCGCAAAGACTCGCTTTTTATGCGGATCATTTATCCAAACATAAACAGGATTTTTTATTCATTCAAACGATGATAAAAATTCAAGGATTTTTTGGAACAAAGTCCAAAAAGATTCGAAAAAAAAATCTATATCCACTTGATTGGTTGATCGAAATCAAAATAGTCATTTTTATTCTTGTTTTAAAAAAATAAAATTCATCAATTTTTTTTCCTTCATTAAATTTTTGTAATTGTAAATTATAAAAATAAAATGGAATGTAAAATAGTTGATGATGATACTATACAGAAAATTTTATCAAATTATATTAAACATCGAAATTATAAGACAAATACACGATTGAATGATAATCATTCATTGAATCATAATGATCAACAACAACAATCAACATTGGAAAATGGTGGCGATGATCAAACAACATTACGTGATGATAATGTTTTACCGGCAAAAGATTGGTTTCTTGAAGGTGCATTATCAGCATTTCAAAGTATTCGTAATGTTGCTACATTACGTTTGAATGAAGAAGATTTTGTTAAAGAAGTTGAAATAGCATTTAGAAAATTTGTTGAATTTATCAATAATATTCGTTCGATACAGATTGATGATAATCCATCAAACCAATCATCATCATCTACGACAACACCATTGATGCAACAAAAACGAATACCACAACATGGTGAAGAATTATGGATGACATGTTTTCCATTATTTGTTCATATATTTATACAATTATTCGAATGTGGTTATGTTTCGAATGGTAAATATTGATTCGATTTCATTAAATTCTGATCTTTATTTTGACTCAATTTTTTTTCTATAGCTCAAAATTTTTTCATCGAACATTATCAAAGATTTACAAAAAAATCGAATCATGTACAATTTTTAAGTTCAATGCAATCATCATTGAATAATAATACATTAAATTCAGCATTACAAAATTTTAAAAATTTTAAATGTCGTATTATGATTACTGAAGAAAGTTTTAATCTACTTACACAATTTTTAAAGGTAAATAAACAATTTGAAAAAATTTCATTCAATTTCCATCAATAATTTCTGCTTTTCTCCATCCAGCATGAACAACATCTATCCATATTGCAAACATTTAATTCTTGTCTGGATTTTCGTGTTATGACACAAGAAGAATATAGTAATCAACAAGCATATCAAACGATGAATCAAAATTCTGATTCTACCACTAATAATCATCAAGATGATTATTTATATGAAAATTTAGCCAATGAAGAAAATTCCGATGAAATGAATGAAATTTTAAATATTATCAAATCGGTTAGAGAAATGAACAATGATAATGATGATGATGTTAATAATAATAATGGTGAACAATCATCATTATCGGATCCATTAAATTATCCAACACAAGCATATCAAACAACAATTTGTTTATGTCGTATGCAATCATCGATTCTAAGTTCAATTGCTATATCAAAAAATCTTTCGAAAATTGTTGCCGGTAATGAAAATTCAGAAATATTATTATGGGATACAGATCTAACTGATGAATTACAATATTATTCATCACGTATTTATCGTCATTGGAAACGTGTACCCGTTCGACGAATACAATCGGATTTAGATTTTAAATTTATTGATCGAAAAATATTTCAATCAAATGATGAACCGAACATTGAAAATGATGATGAAGATGTAAAAAATCAATTAGAACCAATCATATTTCGTGGCCATTCAAATACCGTATATGAAATGTCATTTTTATTCGATTCGAATGTTTTATTATCATGTTCAAGTGATACAACTATTCGTGCATGGGATATAAATTCTTCATCATGTTTAGCTATTTATAAAGGACATTCATCAGCTATTTGGACAATAGATTCAAATGATTCGGGTTGTTTTATATCAGGTGGTCGTGATGGTATTGCACATATGTGGGATATTGAACGTACCGTACCAATGAGAATATATTCTGGTCATTTAATGGATATTAATCAATTGAAATTTCATCCAAATTGTAATTATTTAGCTACTGCTTCATCGGATAAAACTATTATACTTTGGGATGTAAATCAAGTTAGACAAGTTCGAATGTTTTGTGGTCATACAGCACCAGTTAATACCATAAGATTTTCATCATGTGGAAAATATCTTGGTTCAGCATCGGAAGATGGTTCGGTAAAAATTTGGGATATATCACAAGGACGTTGTATTGCCGAAATGATTGATCATCAAGATAATATTCGTTGTATAACATTTGGTCCAAATGATCATTTACTTGCATCATGTGGTATTGGATCATCAGCCATACATATTTGGGAAAATCCAATCGGTTGTGCTCGATCACAACAATCAATACCATTTATTGCTATTGATGTTAATAGTAGTAATAATGATACGAAATTATCCGAATCGAATACAAATCATAATCTAATGCAATTACAATTTATTCGTCATAATGTTTTGTTGGCATTTTCGAAAAAAATTTAACAAAAATATTTTTCGAAAATAAATAAAAATGATTTGAATTCGATTTTTTAAAAAACGAAATTCGATGATAGCGCCATCAATTGAGAAATGCAGGTAACCATGTCGCCAAAAAAAAACATGTGTTCAGAATCGAACATGTGGTGCTGTGTTTAGCTTTTTTATTTCTTTTTTAAAATTGTTAATTTTTTTTTGAAAAAATGGATTCTCAACAAGTAAATAAAAAATTTAAACCAAGTTTAAAATCTAAACAAAGTAAAAAATTGGCTGGCAAAAAATTATCTGGCTCAAATAATGATAAAAAATCTAATCATAAAGCATTTGCCATTAAATCGGCTGTTAAAGCACAAAAACAATTTCGCCGTAAACAGGATATTATTGCTAAACGTGAACGTTTACCACAAATTGATCGTACACCATTAGAACCACCACCATTTGTTGTATCGGTAGTCGGGCCACCAAAAGTTGGTAAAACAACATTGATACGTGGTTTGATCAGGAATTATACACGTCAAAATATTAGTCAAATTACTGGTCCAATTACAATTGTTTGTAATAAAAATCTACGTATAACATTGATTGAATGTAATAATGATATTAATTGTATGATTGATGTGGCAAAAATATCCGATTTAGTTTTACTTGTTGTTGATGCAAGTTTTGGTTTTGAAATGGAAACATTTGAATTTCTTAATATTTGCCAGGCACATGGTTTTCCACGTATAATGGGTGTACTTACACATTTGGATGTTTTTAAAAATCCAAAAAAATTACGACAAACAAAAAAGCAGTTGAAACATCGTTTTTGGACCGAAATTTATTCGGGTGCAAAACTTTTTTATCTATCCAAAATGATACATCAAGAATATCTTCGTAATGAAATACATAATTTAGCACGTTTTATATCGGTAATAAAATTTCGTCCAATCGAATGGAATTCAACACATCCATATGTCGTTGTTGATCGTATGGAAGATCTGACAAATCCGGATGAAATTCGTTTACAACCAAAATGTAATCGTAAAGTTTGTCTATTCGGTTATTCACGTGGTTCGAATTTTAAACCAAATCAAGCTGTTCATATTCCTGGTTGTGGTGATTTTCAAATACATAGTATTAATTTTATACCGGATCCATGTCCATTACCGGAAAAAGATCCGGATAAACAGAAAAAACGAAGATCATTAAAAGAAAAAGATAAATGTATTTATGCACCAATGGCTGGTGTTGGTGGTATTGTTTTCGATAAAGATGCTATTTATATTGATCTTCGTGGTAGCCATTCAATGGATCAAAAAGATAATAATGATAATGATGGCCATAACGAAATGAGTGAACATGAAAAACTTGTAGCCGAAATTAATCAAACTGGACAACCATTGGATACACAGATTTCATCATCGGAAATGAAATTATTTTCGAAAACAATTGAATCGAATACAAATGATAATGTTCGACGTAAAGTTGTTTTCGATGATGATGGTAATGATATTGATGATGATGACGACGACGACGAAGATAATGATGATTATGATCAAGATGATGAATCGGACAATGAAATTGATGATGAAGAACCAATGGAAGAAAATTCCGATGATGATCAAGAAAATATAGAATTTTATGGCAGTTCCGATGATGATGATGATGACGAAATGAAAAACGAATGGAAAGATAATTTAAGAAAAAAAGCAAGCGAATCATTTTATCAACGTATCGGACGAACAGTAAATATACAGGGATTAGTTTATGGTAAAATGGATTCAATGATAATGCCAACAAATAACGATCCTGTATCGAATGATTCGGATGAACTATTTCGACCTGTTAATCATTCGGATGATGTAAATGTTTCAAATTCACATAGTATGAAATTTACATTGAATTCATTGGAATGTACAAATTTTCCCGAAGATTTATTAATCAATTTTACCAATGATAATAATAATGATGCAAAAGAATTGAATTTAATTCGTGATTGTTTTATCACTGGACAATGGAATGAAAATGAAGATGCTGAAGCTATTTTAACAAAAGATAAAAATCTTCGTGATAAACTTGAGCAAGATGATGATGATGATGATGAATTATATGATGATTTTGAAGATTTAGAAAATGTTGATGATAATGAAATGGAAACGGATAAAGTTGATGATGATCAGGATGATGATGATGATCTGATGGACAAGAAAATGATGAAAAAACAACAATTCAATGAAGAATATGATAATTTAAAAAGTAATACGGTTCTCAATACTGGTGATGAAAAAATGTTTATCGATTTTGAAAAGGAAAAAATTCAACAACAATCAGAAGTGAGTAGTGTTTTTTTTTGTTGTAAAATTTTCTTAAAAATTTTATTTTTTTCTTTGTTTACGAATTAGCTTAATCGAAAAGAATTTGAAAATATGTCAATGGATCAACGAATACAATATGAAGGTTTTCAAGCTGGCCTTTATCTTCGAATCGAATTAATACAAGTACCATGTGAATTGATTACGAATTTTGATCCATCATATCCGATAATTGTTGGTGGTTTACAACATGGTGAAACTGATATTGGTTATGTTCGTACACGAATTAAAAAACATCGTTGGTATAATCGTATATTGAAAACAAAAGATCCATTAATCATATCATTGGGTTGGCGTCGATTTCAAACACAACCATATTATTCAATTGAAGATCATAATGGTCGTAATCGTTTGCTAAAATATACACCACAACATATGCATTGTATGGCATCATTTTGGGGACCAATTACACCACAAAACACTGGTTTTGTTGCATTTCAAAGTGTTTCCGAACGAACATCACAATTTCGAATTGCTGCAACCGGTGTTGTGTTGGATCTGGATAAAGCATCACAAATTGTTAAAAAACTTAAATTAATTGGACGACCGATAAAAGTTTATAAGAAAACAGCATTCATTGGTGAAATGTTTAATTCACCATTGGAAGTAACAAAATTTGAAGGTGCTGCAATACGAACTGTTAGCGGTATTCGTGGACAGATTAAAAAACCAATACGATCACCTGATGGTGCATTTCGTGCAACATTTGAAGATAAAATTTCTGCAAATGATTTAGTTTTTCTTCGTACATGGGTTAATGTACCGGTTGCTAAATTCTATGCAACCGTTACATCATTATTAATGCCAATCGAACAAAAAGATCAATGGATTGGTATGAAAACTGTTGGTCGTTTACGTTTTGAAAATCAAATTGCCGTAACGAATAATCCAAAATCATATTATCAAGAATCCAAAAGAAAAGAATATCATTTCAAACCGATGATTATACCGAATAAATTACAAGAAGAATTACCATTCCGTTCGAAACCAAAATTAATACCGAAAAAATCACAAAAAATTGATAGAATTGCTGTTATAAAAGATTCACATGAAAGACGTACGGATAATTTATTGAAAAAATTAAATTTGGTTTATAAAGAAACCAAACGACAAGATCGTTTAGTAATGGAAAAACGTTCAGAGCAACATCGAAAAACAATGGCTAAAATTGAAAAAGGACGTGAAGAAAAAGAGAGAGAACGAAAAAAACATATAATGCGTCAGCTAGGGAAATCACATAAAATTTAAATTTTTTTCATTTGAAAACTTTTAATAAATTTTTCTTTCTTCGTTATCAATCGTTTTTCACTTGTTTATTTTGAAAAAATTTCTGAATCAATAATCGAACTTCGGAATGATTTGATGGTTGTCGAAAACGGGTACGAATCCAATCGGATAATTTGGAATTTACCGATAATTTTCCATAACGTTCATCGATCAATATGATTGTTGCATAATCATTTTGATGGCGAATTGCACGTCCAATCGATTGATTAACAGCACGCATACAAAGATTTTCATAATATTCCTTTTGACAACAAAACAAAAAAACAAAAAAAAACAGCAACGGTTATTTTGAAATTTCAAAAAGTTAAAGAAAAAACTGAACATACATTACCAGCATTCGATGCGATACGATTTAAATGTTCAATTTTTTCCATTAATTCAATTGAATTACGATTTGCATATGGCAGACCGATAACAATAATACCACGACCTAAATCATCACTAAAATTAATACCTTCACTCATTTTACCACCAATAACCGAAAAAAGAATTGCACTATTTTTTGTTGATGATTTTATAAATTTCGAATAATTATTCAATATCAATTGAACTTGTGAATTTTTTTTCGGTTCACGAAATATACGTTTTTGATTTTGTTCAAATAATTTCATTATACCTTCATCCGACCATCGTTTTAGGAGAAATTCTTGATAATCATATGATGGGAAAAAAACGACAATACCTTTCGGTATATTTTTAACAATATCAACAAGTAGATGGCCAGTTTCTTTAACAATTTCGGTGGAATTACGATTTTGAAATGAATAATTTAGCCGGATATTATTCGGGCCATATGAACAACCGATTGCAATCAATTTATCATCATCGATAACATGATTACAAGAGAAAAATTTTGTACGATTATCATTGATATTTAATGGACGAAATAATTGATTAATATAATCATTGAATGGTTTCATTGTACCACCACAAAGTATAACTGAACGACATTCCTGTAATATATCTTTAAAATGGCTACTTGGACTTAATAGTAGATATTTGTATGAAGAATGATTATCATCATTATCAATTTGTATTAATATTTTTGCATCAACATTATAATTAATTAATGATGATAGAAAATCTTTAATCAAATGTATGGTATTTATTTGAAGAAATTCATCATCCACATCATTAACATTTGATTCTTCAATTTGTTTCCCACTAGCTTTTGCTTGATTATTTGAAAATTTTTTCAAAAATTCCAACGTACCGGTTGATTTTATTATTTTGTCTGGACGATTTTTATCATTAACCGATTTTTGATTCGAAAACATATGCAATTTACTTGCAATTCTACTACGTTCAATAAATTGCAACAATTCATGAATATTAATATTTTCAATATTCAATTTGATTGTTAAATCTAATGGCTGTAAGCAGGTATTTGTTTTGGCTTCCAAAAGATATTGATATAATTTCCTTATGACAAATATTAATTGTTTCAAATATTTTAGATTCAATGAATTGAAACGATTTAAATATTTTGTCATATACAATGAAAGATATTTTAATAATGATGATAATTGACGGGAATATATTTGAATACTATGTACATTACTAATGGTTTCCAGAAGATTATGTGCTTCATCAACAATAACAATCGAATCTTTCAATTGAATATTGAAATTTTCACGTGTCGAACGATGTAATAGAATATTATATGGCATAACGACGATTTCTGATTCTGGTATAGCAATCCGTGCAGAATAATATGGACATGCTTGTCGTTGTTTGGCAACGGTTACAATTTCTTCAATATCATTTACATGGGCAAGAATTTCCTGACCAAATTCCAGGATTTTTTGTTGATTTTTATATTGACATTTTTGTTTAGAATTTTTCTGCTGTTGTAAATCATTACATTTTTCATTAATCATATTGAGATTATTAAAATGATTTACTTGTTGATTAATACAATAATTTACACGTGAACTTAATGGTATTAACATTAATGAATTTGGATTATGTTGATAATATCGAGTTTTTTTAAATTCATTTATAAATTGTGATAATTGTGAATGTGTACGGCTACAATAATAGATTTTTGGTAGAAAATAATCTGAATTTTTTTCATCGTCATCATCATTCAGGTTAACATCTTCATCGAATTGAATGATTAAATCTTCAAGATCAAGATCATCATCAACATCATTTGAATTTCGTTTCACTTGGATCGATTGTTGATTCATTTTGCGTTGTTGAACTGTTTTTCGCTTTTTCAATTCTTTTGAATAGCCAATATGTTTGGTTAGTTTTTCAAGTTTCAAATTCAAATCATTAATTTCATTATTGTTTGTCATTTGTTTCAATTGAGTCGCAAGCCAATCATCATTCTTTTCATTCATTTGATTCTGTCGTTTTCGTTCATCAATTTCTTCGGTATATTTTTGCAATTGATTCAGTTTATAATCTTCCATCCATTTAGCTAATGAACAAATAATACTTAATGATTTACCAGTACCGGTTGGACTTTCAACAATCGATATATAACCATTTTCAAATGAATCATATAATTGATTCATTAATTTGATCTGAATATCGTATGGTTGGTAAGGAAATTGATAATTTCGTTGATCGGACATGTTTGTCGTTTGTCTGGTTTGTTTTATACGAAAAACAACCTGACAAATTCAAATTAATCGGACAAAAATCAAGTGTTTTTTTTTAAATCGCGCAAAAATGTTTCACATTGCGGTACCATCAACATATGAAATGATTATCATCAGCTGGCAAACCAAATTATCGTTAGCGCGCCAAATTAATTTGCGAGCAAAACAAAAACCGAAACGAAAAATTCAATAAAAAAAATGTCTAAACAAAAAACGATAACAAATTTTTTCAAACGTAAAATTATCGATGAAATCGATAATGGAGCGATCAGTAAAAAGCATTGCATCAATGCAGTCGTCGGCGGTGGTGATGATTCTTCAAATGACAAACGATCTAATGATAATTCTGGTGATAACCGTAATGATGATGATAGACGACGTGTTGCTTGTGGATATATTTCAACAAAATGGTATAAAATTTTCGAACAAGAATTTCAAAAACAATATTTTAAAAATTTAGAAAAATTCATTGAAAATGAACGAAATTCGCATACAATTTATCCACCTGAAAATCAAGTATTCAGTTGGTCATTTCATTGTGATATCGATAATGTTAAGGTGATTATTTTAGGTCAAGATCCATATCATGGTCCACGACAGGCTAATGGTCTTGCATTCAGCGTTGAACGTAATGTTGCTAAACCACCGAGGTAAGCAGAACAAAAATTTCTTATATTTTCAAAACTGACATGAAAAAAAAATCTCATTCCATTCTCATAGCTTAATCAATATATTCAAAGAAATTAAAAATGAATATCCTGAATTTCAAATACCATCACATGGTGATTTAAAACAATGGTCAAATCAAGGTGTATTATTATTGAATGCATCACTAACTGTACGTTCAAATCAACCAAATTCACATTCAAATCATGGTTGGGAACAATTTACTGATTCAATAATTCGTTACCTAAATCAACATTATTCAAATCGTGTTTTTTTACTTTGGGGTAGTTATGCACATAAAAAAGGTTCATTTATTGATTCGAAAAAACATTTAGTTTTAAAATCCGTACATCCAAGTCCATTATCAGCAATGCGTGGTTTTTTCGGTTGTAATCATTTTAAACAATGTAATGATTATCTACAAAAACATAATATTAAACCTATTGATTGGACTAAATTGGATTAATTGAGTGATGGACGATTATTAAAACATTCAAGAATCAATATTTATTTATTTTTTTTAAAGTTACCATTCATCAAGTTAATTGTCAAACAAAACAAAACAAAAAATGCAAACAAACACACACACAGATAACATAAATGTAAAAAAAGACAAATTTTTTTTTTCTTTGAAATAAAATCTCATTGATATCTTTCAATTATTATCATCTATTATATCAATATATAACCATTGATATCTAAGGAACTATAAAAGAATTATAATTATTATTATGAATTTTTTTGTTGTTGAAAACATTTTGTTAATTTTTGTTAAAATGTTTTCAACAAAAAAGGAACAACAACAAAATTCGTCAATGTAAATCACACACTCACACACACACAAGAACAATACAAACATTCGAATGTTTGAAATTATTTCATCTAAATTAATCTAATTTACTATCTAGGTAATTGACTGTGAATTACCATTATCATTCATATTTTTTTCTGTTTGAATATCGGTTACATATCACCGAAAATTCCGGCAAATGTTTTACGTAAATTTCGCATTGTATCATCTACTTCTTCTTTTATTTCACCGACGATTGCATTCTGTGAATCACGTTTATTTAATGGTGGTGGTTGTTTTTGTTGTTGTTGTTGTTCATCATTAATGTTTACTGTTGGATCGAATGAACTTGCAAACGGATTAGTTGAATTAATTTCATTGATTGTCTTGTTGGTTGTTGCAGAAACAACAGAAGGAACTGTTGATGCTGATGATGGCGGCGGTGGTGGTGGTGGCGGTGCTTTATACGGTGGATTTGTTGATGATGATGGTGGGGGTGGTTTAGGCGGTAATGGACGATTACCCGTCGAAAATGATGGACCGCTTGATTCTTTTGAGCCTCTACGATTCATAATCGGTGGTGGTACGGATGTTGTTGGTGGCTGTGATGATTGTGGCTGATTGGTCATCGATGTTAGTGATGGACGTTTCGATTGTTGTTGTTGTTGCTGTTGTTCATTCGATTCCGGTTCATTAGCCGAAATGCTAGCTCGGGATTGTTGTTTACTATGGATTTTAAGGAGAAAAAAATTTCATCAAAAAACAAAATTTTTGCAAAACCAAAAAATATTTACATTAAAATATTTTTGCAAATAGCATTCATTCGTTGTATGATTAATTCGACAATATTTTTACGATCTTCTTCCTGTGTATCGCCCAACAAAGCCATATCCGAACCACGTACTTTAACAATAAATTCTTTACCATCTTTATCGATAATACCTTCTAATGAACAAATATCTAAACAACCAAATGAATCGGAAACATTATCTATCCATTTTTTATAACGATCATTAAACGATATTTGTTCCAATAATGCTGATCCAACATTTGCTTTCCAATTACCTGATACAGATTTTCGTCTAAAACAACAACAACAAAAACAATTATAAAACATTTTCTTGTAAATGTTTTTCAATAACAAATTCTTACGTAAATGTTTTATAATTGGTACCAATTTTTTGTAAAATAAAATCGCATTTAGCATCAATAAATGGTTCGATTGTACAATATTTATCGGTTATCATTAAAACACTACGTATATCTTGATATTGATTAATATTTTCAATTTTAACTTTTCCTAAACCCGAACTTGATGATCCTATTTTAACTACACAAGGTAATTTTGGTACACCGCTCTGTTCGAAATTAATAAATTTTAATGATAAAATTTCAAACAAAACAAAAATACTAACCGAATCTTTATATGTTTGATAAAATGTTTGTTCAATTAATGGAAATGATTCTTTGCCTTGTTTTCGTTGTATGGCCAATAAATTGGCAAACTGAAATTTGATCAAAAACAAACGGATAAAAGTTACTTATTCAAACAAACAAACAAAAAAAGAAAGAATTTTCTAAACTTACCACCCATGCTTTATCCTGAAAATTATAAAAACTTTGTAATGAATTAATCGATGGTACTAGGCCATATTTTAAACCAACAATAATATCGCTATAATTTTGATTACCATCCTGTATATGTTGACGAATCAATACAAAATCTGGACGAAATGTTCGTGCAATACGAAAACCATTACGATCAACAGTATAAATGGATACGATAGCTCCATGTTCACAATTGGCCGATAAATTTATATCTTTAAATTCAGCCTGGCAAACAAAAACCGAGCAAAAAACAAACACAATTAATCAGAACTAGGTAAACAACAATCTATGATTACCTGTTCAACTTTAATATCCCAATCACCAATTAATCTTCTTCCACGAAAATATTTCGACCTAAAAAAAAACAAAACAAAACAATGTTAATAATTAATTCAAACAACAACAACAACCGCTGGATAATTAATTAATTGAAAAACACACACACTTACCAATCAACTAAATGATCATCAATAATTAATAGAATTTTATGTCGATCTTTAATAACAGCAGCAACTTGTGATGTAGCACGTGCAATTTGTTGCACTGTATTCGTTACCAAACTACTTCCTGTTAATGATGTTGCACGTGATAAAAGACCTGTAACACCTCTTGATACATTCGATGCTGCTGTTGCTGTTGATGATGATGATGATGATCCGGTGGCGGCTGTTGGTTGTGGTGATACCGGTGCACTTGTCATCATATTTGATGATTTAAAATTCAATAACATTCCGGTTTTTGGATCAACATTCGTCGATGATGTTGGTTGATTAAAACCAGCATTATTGGTTTGTTGTTGTTGAATCGATATTTCCTAGTTTTTTTTAAAAATTTTAAAATAATTTACAAAAAAAGAATCGTCTTTAAAATAAAATTTACAAACCTCTTGATCATCTTGACCTTCGCCTTGTAGGTCACCGGATGAAAAACGCCTCTTTAAAAATGTTGTGGTCGAGGCAAAACCTTGACGAAATGTTGTGAATGAAATTTTGAATGATTTTGTTTGGAATCGGTTAAAAGAGAAAAAAAGTGGAAATTAAATAAAATCAATCAACAATTGATCGAATGATTGATCGTAAACACAGAATAAATATTTTCTTTAAAAACCAAAACAGAATTGATCAAAAAAAAACTTTTCAATCAAACATCAAAGATTCTTTGGTTAAAGTGTCGGGTGTTCTGTTTCTCTCTCTCTCTCTCTCTCTCTCTCTCTCTCTCTCTCGCTTGTTTCTTTGATCCAATTTTTTTTTCTTTCTCTTTATGTTTTTGGC